CCCCGGAGGCATCCCAGCCCGGCACGCGCGCGGGAGTGGGGTCAGCGCCCCCCGCGGCCGACCTCGCCCGGTCGGGCTCTGCTTTCCGCGGGCGCCCGGGCGGCCATGCGGCTGCGCGCCCTGACCTCGGGGCCTCCTGGAGGGTGCGCGCGCGGGGCCCGGGCGCGCCGGCACCGGCACCGGCGCCAGGTGAGTGGGTGCGGGGGCGCAGGGGCGCGCGGCAGAGGGGGCGCTGCGGCGCGGGGCTTTCGGAGAGGGGGAGGGGGCGCGGGGTTCGAAGAGGGGGAGCGGGGCGCGGGGCTTGGAGAGTGGGGGAGCGGGGCACTCGGAGTCTGGGAGCGCAGGCGCGGGGGCTCGCGGAGAGGAGCGCTTTGGGGCCGGTGCGCGCACGCGGGCGCGCGCAGAAGCGTGTCCATGTGCCCGCGTGTGTCCGTGCACCCTTGCCTGCGTGCGCCCGTGTGTGCTCGCGTGCCCTTGTCTGTGCGCGAGTGTGCACCTTCCTGCGGGTTTCTGTGTGCACGCGCGTGAGTACCTCGTGTGCGCGCTCAGGGGAGGCTGAACTGGGAAGCAGGCTTTTGCCTGGCGGGAGGCGGGGGCCCTGTTGAGCCCACGTGGAGTGGGAAGCAGTTCAGGGCTAACTTTACAATCCAAGTGCCTCTTGAGCACGCGTCCGTGGGCTCCTTTTCCGAAGTGGAAGCAGGACACTGGCCGTGACGCAGCCCCGAGGCGCACCTCGTTTCTTCCAAAGGGAGAGAGGACCGCTGGCCCTGTGCTGATGTCGGGGACGCGCTGGCCTGTCGCGATAGTGCAAGGTCACCAGGGCCATACTGCAGCCCGCGACCGCCCTCCGCAGCGTTGGCATTGAACTGAGCAGATGCCCCAGAGGGTTGAGCAGCCCTTTGAGTCTAAAAGTTAGGCATTTTTTGCATTCTTTTTCCCGGAAACTTTCCTAAGGGTCTAAGAAAGAGAAGTCAAAATGTCAGCTGCTTCTCGGCACTTTGGGTTGCCCTGCGTTTCGATTTTCAGTTTAGCAGCCTGAAGCTCTTGCTGGGAAGATTGTGGACTGTGTGTGGCGTGTGGTGTGCGGGAGGCCAGCTGCCTGGACGCCCGTGTCCTGTGGCTGCCATGGGTGGAACTCTCGGTGGGCGGATTTAGGGGCCACTGTGTCCCTGCAGAAAGATTTCGTGGCCCTCGAACCTCAGGGTCAAGTTGATTTTTATTTTCTGCTCGCGGGGGAATGCCAAGTACCAGAACTCACCCCGGAAGAGGGGAACAGCTCTCAGGGTGTGCTGACTCAGCCTTTGTGAGGGTCATTGTTTCGCTACTGTAACATTAGCCCCCTGAACGGCACAGAACTTGGAGAGAGGTCTGTGCACTTTTGCATTTCCGTGGAGCAGGGGGTGCCCTCTTCGCGCTCACGTGGGCCTTCTCCTTGCTCAGTTTTGCAGAGATTTTTCTTTCTAAAAAGAGACTTCACAATCAAGCCCAGCACTAATTACTGGGTACCCCTCGGGGAGTCCTCGCGGACCTGGCAGCCCTGCTCGGACCTGGCAGCCCTTCTGGCTGCCCTTCCAACTGTCTGCTCCTGACAATTAAATGCAATTTAGATTCCTGAACCGAGCTTGCTAAACGCCCCAGCATGGAAGCCACCCCTCCCCCCCGCGCACCCTGCTGCCCCCTCCCCCCCCCAAATGAAAGCAAAGTATCAGGTGAAAACAAAAGCGTCTAATCCCGTCTCGCTCATTTCACAATGGAGATGTTATGTACAGATGAAGCGTGAGCAGATGTTATTACACTATCTCGAGCAGCGTCCTCGGGGACTCGGGCACTGACAGGGGCATCAGCTTCCCAGCAGCACCTCTGCTGTTTCCCTCTCCAGGCTTTGAGCGGCGGCCCAGCGGGGCCAGAAAACCGCAGGAGCACAGTGCCTCTTTCTCCCCGGTTCGGATAAAGGTGTTTGTAAGGAATACAAGGTCACAGTCTCCTCCGTTGGCCCTCGAACTGGGGCCAATTCATTCCACCAACAAGTGTTAATTGAGGGTCCAAAAGCTCACTCTGGTGCCAGGCACTGTGCAGGGGCTCAGAGACAAATGGACGAGAGCCCTGTGTCCTGCCTCTGAGACCCTGCAATGGAGCACAGGAGGGAAGGCATATAAACAAATAACTGGAACACGAGGCGGGAAGCCTGTGCCAACTGGGCCATTGCCACAGACGACTGTATTTTTAGATGCTTGAATGGCTGCCCCTGTCTGAGCGCGAGATGGGTGGAGACGGGGTCTGAGCCCACGGCCCTTTCCTCAAGCTGTGTGGTTTCAGTTTTTCGTCCTCTTTCTGTTTGGAAGATGGTGGTGGTCATGGTTCTGGCACCGAAGGACCCTGCTAATGTCCTGAGCTTGTCCCAGGGGCTCTGGCTTCTGAAGACCCTGAGTGCGGGAGCCCTGCTATCAAAAAGTTGAGTCTCTTGGGGCACCCGGGGGTCTCAGTCAGTTAAGCCTCCGGCTTTGGCTCCGGTCACGATCTCAAGCCCCGAACTGGGCTCTCTGCTGTCAGCATGGAGCCTGCTTTGGATTCTCTGCCTCTCCCCAGCTTGCGTGTGCGCCCATGTGCACTCGCTCGCTCTCTCTCTCTCTCAAAAATAAATATTAAAAAAAAAGTTGAGTCTCTGAAAAAGCCCGTAATGAGCATGTGCAGAAGCACATGCCAACAGTGCCCTGTGTGTATGCAGGATGGACCATCCTGCAGAGGGGTACTGCAACTGCAGTCACGGGGGGAGCTTTGAAAAACTTTGTATTCTGGCCACACCTCCAAATTCTCTGTGTTTATTGGTCTGGGTGGGGTTTAGCAGAGTGGTTTCCTTTTTTGTTTTTTAAAGGTTCATTTATTTATTTTGAGAGAGAGAGAGCAAGCAGGGGAGGGGCAGAGAGAGAGAGAGAGAAGGAGAGAGACAGAGAGACAGAGAGAGACAGAGAGAGGATCCCAAGCAGGCTCCAGGCTCTGAGCTGTCAGCACTGAGCCCAGCGCAGGGCTCGAACTCACGAACTGTGTGATCATGAGGTGAGCCGACATGGGATACTTAATTGCCTGAGCCTCCCAGGCACTCCACTGACACATTTCTTGCACTTGGGCTTTGTTAGTTTCATCAGTCTAGGGGTTTAGAGTTTGCTCAGAATTTGGAAGAGTTTTAGCCATTATGTTCTCGATGATTCCCCTCCTTCCTTTACAGAGAACCCAGTGATCCCTGTGTTTGGCTGCTCAAACTTTCCCACCACTCACTGATGGCTCTATCTATTTACTTGGAGGTCTCTTCTTTCTGCCTGTTATTTCGGGCAGTTAGTACCGTGATGCTCTCACAAGCTGCATGCGCGTGCTCACTGGCTGGCTGCCGTCGCTGAGACCCCTCCGCATGTCCTAGGTGGTCCACGAGACTCTGTTTCGTGGGTGTTCCCTGCGTCTTGGGACCTTGCTTGGTGCAGGAATCTGGGGCAGTCACGGAACTCAGGCCACTTTTTCCTCTGCCCCTGAGGCACTAGATAGATTGGTTTGCCGGTTCACGAACATCCTATCGCTGTATGCTTTTGTGTCGGAGGGTTTTTGTTTAGCACAGTAATGCCTCCGATGCCCACCCAGGATGTATGACGTCACATGTATGATCAGCAAGCTGTGGCGTCTAACTGAACCGTGTTCCGTGGTAGGAATATATCATGCTTTCTATGCCCGGTCTCCTTTTGGTGGACATTTGGGTTACTTCCTGTTTGGGGTACTCTCTTTATCTTATTATTATTATTTTTTTTTGCATTTTTATTTATTTTTGAGGGAGGGAGAGACAGAGTATGCAGGGGAGGGGCAGAGAGAGACACACACACACACACAGAATCGGAAGCAGGCTCCAGGCTCTGAGCTGTCAGTGTAGAGCCCGATGCGGGGCTCAAACCCACAAATCGTGAGATTATGACCTGACTTGAAGTCGGGACGCTTAACCAACTGAGCCCCCCCCGGGGACCCCTGGGGTGCTATTACGTAAGGCAGCTCTGACCATTCTTGCACAAGACTTTTGTGAACATGTGCACTTATTTCTACCTGGAAGGGCAGTGCTGAGACACAGAACTGGCATAGATCTAAAAACATAAGCAACTGCACTTGTATCCTGGTGTTACATTCTCGGTAACATTTAATCTCCCAGGGAGTTGAGGTTTCATCTGGTGGTCAGTGTGGGGCCTCCATGAATGCATGTGGGTGTCAGTTCCTGGGAGGGACGGTCTGCCACTTATCACCGATTGGCTAGAAGGACTGCTGTTTGGTTTCTAAGGCAGGTCGGAGTTTTGTAAGACTATCAGATGCAGCCGTGAGCCTTGACCCTACCTACCAACGTGGGTTGGGTAGGTGAATGAGTGGCTCATTTACTTCCCGGACCAGTGTGCATAGTGGATTCCGAGCCGTGCCAGGTTTAGGGAGGAACCACAAATCCTCACACGCCAGTCTTCGTGACTGCTTCTCCTTCCACAGACCTGCACATTTCGCTCTGAGAAGCCAAGGGGCCGGGATTATCAGTCACCTGGCTTCCTCTGAACATAGGGGTGCTGCTGGCTTAGCGTTTCTTCCAGAAGAGCAAGCGTTGAGGTCTCAGGAATGCCTCTGGGTTAGCTCATCAGGGAAGTAGGTGGTCGTACGCCCGCAGTGTGGGAGGTAATACTCGATTGCTTGAGCAGCACTGAGTGCTGCGCCCCTGACTCATCGCCCATTGACGGGGGATTTGGGAACAGGGTGGGTGCGCGCTTCCATCCGGGGCTCTGGCATCAAGAATGCTGACAGGGTACCTGAGGCTCCCCCCGGGGAATCCCAGCGCCGACTGGTGGCTTCTTGTACCCCTCTGTGTATCGGGGAAAGTTCCTGTTTTAGCTCTTCCCAAACTCCGCTTAGATGCCTCATTTCCTGGAAGAGATGGGAGCGAGCAGGCACACTCGGAATTGTGGAGCTGACGGTTTCTCCCTCTGCTCTTTCAGCCTGAAGAATTACCGAGTTTGCACAGCTTTAAGAGCACGGTCTTCAAAACACCCAAGGTCTGCGGGGTTTGCAAGCAGGTAATTGACGGCCAAGGGATCTCATGCCGAGGTGAGTCTGTGTTTCTCATTCTCTTGCTGTGAAACCGAAATGTGTCTGGCAAGCAAACAAACAAACAAAACCCTAAAATGACAGCCTTCTTTCGGGAGTTTCCAAAAGTGAAATTGCGGAATTCCCCTTCCTGGGTTGTGTTTGACCCGCCCCCCTGCCCCCCGCCAGCCATGCTGCACAGGGACCCGCCGTATTTACACAGCTTCGTGATTGGGAGGAACTCTTCCAGAAGGAGCAGAGCTACTGGTGTGGGACTGGGGACAGTAGTGACAGCGTGGGCATGAGTGCCCTCCGTCCGGCCCGTGGTGTTTGTGGTACTGGTTGTTCAGTTGTGGGCTCGGACCCCTTAGCAGGGTTTGCAAATGAGCGTTCTGCACCTCGGGGCTGGGGCTTCGAGCGGGCCATCAGCCCACTGTCAGGTTCCACTGTCATCAGGAGATAATGCCACCAGCTTTGCCATCTGATGCTTAAGCACCAGGCAGTCAGTATGTTTGCTGTTTGTCGTACTGGCACGGTAATCAGTCTGTGACAGCAACGTGTCTTGGTTCCCTTGAGCCCTGGAGTCCGGGCTGAGGGTCGTGGGTCTGCATCACAGGGAGGGGGAGGATGGTCACACTGCCGTGGGGTGAGGAGGCAGCCCTTCCTCACAGTCCTTGCTGATGGTGCTCCCAGCAGTACCCGCCCTGTCCGGCCCCCCAGCACCTCTGTTTCGGAGTCCACACCTCGAGACCTCTTCTTTCCTGGCACGTGGCCCTCTCCCTTCACCCCGGAGGTGGCCTGTGTGACAGGGCCTGGGGGGGCCCCCTTTACCCGGCCCCCCGTGAGCCGTACCCCGGGCCAGAGAGGTCTTGCATTGCAGGATTTGATACTCTTGTGTTTGGGGACCACTCTGATGGCTCCGGACATGGCCATGACATTGACAGGGGATAAAGGCCCATGGAAAGACCAATCTCATTGGGGTAAAAACATGAGAGTTGTGGTATTTTCAGCATTCTGAGAACCTGGCCTTTCCCCTGCCCTCATGGACCACAGGGTAAACCTGTCGGGGGATGGATAGGAGCATGCTGCTCCCAAAGCCGGAGTCGGGAGCCCAGCAGGATCACTGCGGGTGTGGACGGGGCCCGGCAGGGTGAGTGGTTGGCAGCTCAGGCCTTTCTGTGGTTCTGTTTGGCGCACCTGCCAAAACATAGTTTATCTCTATGGTCTCTTCCTTTTCTCAGTAAACTAGAGACCGAGAACAGAGACCGTGAGTCATTTTCTGTCCTGTGATCTATACATGTCACCTGTGTTTGCATGTTGAGCCCCTGCGTGCCTGGCGCCCGCAGACGGTAAGGCCCTCCTGTCACATGTGTCCTCTGAGCAGCCACGCACATTAGCTCCGCGAGGTTGTGCCGGAGGCCCTTTCTTTGGCTCATTTCTGGAGAAGCAGTGGGTGTGCCGGAGGGGAGCGTGAACGGTGGAGATTCCTGTTCTCCCTGTCTGTGCTTGAGTTTTCCTGTAGAGTGACCCTGGGGAACAGAGAAGGACATGGGGAACTCAAGGCTTGTTGACCGGCTCAGAAGAGTGTACAGTGGTGTTAGTGATGGTGCTGGTGGTGACTGGGGATGACGGCGTGGGTGAAAATGGTGATTGTGATGGTGCTGGTGGTGGCGGTGATGGTGATGGTGGCGTTGGTGATCATGGCAATTGGGACGGTGTTCATGGTGGTGCTGGTGGCGCTGGTGGCACTGGTGGAGAAGGGTGGGGGTATATTCTGTGGCTCAGGCTCGTATTTTTACTCTTCCTTTTCTGGCTCATTCTTGATTTTCAAATCCCTTATTTTCACATTTTAACCTCTTGCTTGACCACGTGTTTCATATGTGGCTAGATTAGAAGAAAACGCTTAGTTTTTTAAAAAGTTTATGTATAGATTTTGAGAGAAGAGAGAGAGGGTGAGCCAGGGAGGGGCAGAGGGAGACTCACACGGGCTCTGTGCTCTCAGTTCAGAGTCTGTTGCGGGGCTTGAACTCACGAGCCATAAGATCATGACCTGAGTTGAAATCAAGGGTAGGGACGCTCAACCAGCTGAGCCACCCATGTGCCCTGAAGAAGCTGCATTTTCCAGAAGCAGTTATGCTTGCACACAGGGGCTATCTTCTCCCTGTTTCTGGAACTTCTCGGGGACAGGCAGAGGTGGGAGTGAGGGTGTCGGTGGGGCCTCACGCCGCCCAGAGCCCCGCTCTGCACTCCCGTGTGGTGACCGCTTCCTGCTGCCCCGCCAGTTCCCCTCGGGCGGTTTGAGGGGTTCGGTCTCCGCCGGTAATGCTGTCGCGTGCCTGGTCTGGTCACATGTGAGATCCGCCAGTGGAGTGTAAAGGTGCGGACTCCCTCGGTGTTGGGGTTCTGAGCGGGCCTGAGCGATGTGAGCTCGGTGATGCCGCCCCGAGGGGAAGACAGACCCGGGGGGATGTGGGGTCGGGCCACGTGGCAGCGATGTTGCTGGAAAGGCTTTGTCGGGGTCTCCTAGAGGGTGGGGGAGGACAGACTGGGCTGGAAAAGTGACAATGCAGGAAGGCTGCGGAGAGGAGCACTATGGGGAGGAGCCTGAGGAGATGAGGGCCGAGAGAGGGAGCAACAGGGAGGCCAGAGGGAAGCGGAGTGAGGGGATTTTGTCAGGAGGGTCTGATGATGACTTTGCCCCTTCAGTAAGCAACACGCGTGTTAAGCACCTGCCAGAGTGACAGGATGCCCCAGGGCAGTTTTCTGGGGGGTCTCACAGTCTGAGGGCGGAGTCCTGCCTGTGAGGGGCTCACCGTCTGAGGGAGGAGTCCTGTGTGTGAGGGGCTCACCGTCTGAGGGAGGAGTCCTGCGTGTGAGGGGCTCACAGTCTGAGGGAGGAGTCCTGCCTGTGGGGGTCTCACAGTCTGAGGGAGGAGTCCTGCGTGTGAGGGGCTCACAGTCTGAGGGAGGAGTCCTGCGTGTGAGGGGCTCACAGTCTGAGGGAGGAGTCCTGCCTGTGAGGGGCTCACAGTCTGAGGGAGGAGTCCTGCGTGTGAGGGGCTCACAGCCTGAGGGAGGAGTCCTGCGTGTGAGGGGCTCACAGTCTGAGGGAGGAGTCCTGCGTGTGAGGGGTTCACAGTCTGAGGGTGGAGTCCTGCCTGTGAGGGTCTCACAGTCTGAGGGCGGAGTCCTGTCTGTGAAGCCATCCCAGTCCACAGTGTGCTAGGTGATTATGGATGAAGGCTTGGGGTAGGTGGCTGATCGCTGGTATGTGCGCTCAGTGCCTGCCCTGTGCCCCATGCTGTGTTACGACCCCGGGACACGGGGCAGACAGGACCATCAGGTCAGCCGAGAGAGCCGCGTGGCCGAGCAGTGCGTGTGTCCGGGCAAGCGTCCCCATGCTGGGGCCCTGGCCCCCTCTAACCTGTTCCCCTCACCCGTTCCCGAGAACACTTGAGGCTGAGAGAGGCAAGGGCCCACCTCTCCTTTGGGAAGTGTGGACCTCCGAGCCCACCGACGTCTGGAGGAGTAGCCGTTCTGGGGCAGCACGATGCCGGGGCCAGGATTCCCACCCCGGGCTCTGTGGGCCCTTTCCCTGGACAGGGAGCCCCGGCGTGTGGGTGCAGACCCCCGGGGGTGGAGACACAGGCCCCACGCGGACCCTCAACCGCCACGGGGTGAGCTGAACGTGGCCCCCAACCACCCTGTGGCATTGATCTCCACTTGCTCTCTCTGTCGCTCTCTTTTTAAATGTTTTTTTCTGTTTTCTTTTTGAGAGAGAGAGACAGAGACAGAGATAGAGCACAAGCGGAGGAGGGTCAGAGAGAGAGGGGGACACAGAATCCAAAGCAGGCTCCAGGCTCTGAGCTGTCAGCACGGAGCCCGATGCGGGGCTTGAACCCACGAATGACGGTTGATGGAGGTGTCATCCCACCTCAGTTGATAAAAGGACGGACCGCGCAATACATCTTGCTGGGCAAACCAGCTCACTCACCCGCTGGCTCCCTCACAGAAATAGCACGAATTTCAGATGCATCAGCCATGAAACTGGATCAGAGCTGAAATTGCAGAATGAATATTAGAATAAAATATGCAGAACATCCTTACAGCCACGGACGGAGAGGGAAGGCGTCTCAAATAATGACCAAACACAGAGACTGAATGAAATAATGGGTAGGCATGAACAAGCCATACTTTAAAACTTTCTCAAGATAAACACCCCACAAAATCAGACCAACAACGGTCTTGAAGGCTTGGAGTACGAAAGGTAGGATGGTTAAGGAATTCACACGCCTGGATGGCTCCGTCCGTAAGCGTCCAACTTCGGCTCAGTTCATGATCTCGCAGTCTATGGGTTCGAGCCTTGTGTCAGGCTCTGTGCTGACAGCTCAGAGCCTGGAGCCTGCTGCAGATTCTGTGTCTCCCTTTCTCTCTTACCCTCCCCTGCTCATGCTCTGTCTCTCAGAAATAAGTAAAAAGTGTTAAAAAAAATAATTAAAAGTTAAACCTAGAATTTTACATGATCCAGGAATCTGAAGGAAATGAAGTCATTAGCTCAAAGAGATATCCGTACTCTCTTGCTCATAAAACTGTTATTCACAATAGCCAGATATGGAAGCAGTCTCCATGTCCATTGATAGATGAATAGGTAAAGAAAACGTGGTGTAGAAGCAACAGAATAACATTCAGCCATATAAAAGGGAGATCCTGCTAGTTGTGACAAAAGGGGCGGGGGGCAGAGGACAGTCTGCTGAGTGAAATAAGTCAGGGAAAGACAGACACTGTATGGCTTCACTTATATGTGGATTAAAAAAAAACCCAACAACAACCAAACCACCTCAAAGTCAAGGGAAACGGAGCAGAATGGCGCTTTCAGGGCTGGGTGTGGAGAAATGGGAAGATGTGGGTGTGCGGGCACGAACTTTCAGTTGTAAGATGAGTACTTTGGGGATTTCACATAGTGCGGGCACGAACTTTCAGTGCTAAGATGAGTACTTTGGGGATTTCACGTAGTGCTTGGTAACTGTAAGTAACAGTACTTTATTGGATACTTGAAGTTTGCTGCCAGAATAGATAGATTGATTGATTGATTTTTAATGTTTATTTTGAGAGAGAGACAGTGCCAGCAGGACAGGGGCAGAGAGAGAGGGAAACACAGAATCGGAAGCAGGCTCCAGGCTCTGAGTCTTCAGCACAGAGCCTGACGCGGGACTAGAACTCACGAACCACAAGATCGTGACCTGAGCTGAAGTCGGACGCTCAACTGACTGAGTCACCCAGGCGCCCTGCTTCAAGAATAGATCTTAAATGTTCACACACACATATGCAGTGCGCTGGACGTGGTAATTAACGTGGTTGTGGCAAACGCCTCACAATGCAGACCTGTGTCAAGTCATCAAGCTGTATGTACACTTTGAACATATACAATTTTGTCAATTATATGTCGGGAAAGCCAGGAGCAAACAGCGACAGAGCCGGAGCTGCCTTGCTGGCTTGTGAGAAGGGTACGAGGTTAGGGCGAGGCTGGCGGCCAGGGTAAATGCGTCCCTCTTATCCTCTGGGGCGTGTGTGTGGGGATGCATTTCGTTGGGGACCTTCTGGGGCTTTCCGCAGCCCCCCTGTCCCTGGTGGTCAGGTGGGGGGTGCCCCCCTGTGTGCAGCCCTGCCGGACCGAGAGCAGGGGGCACCTGAGGTCTCATGAAGAGAAACACGCAGGCAACACCCAGAGGGTCCGTGGCTCCTTCGTGGCGTGTGGAGAAAGTGCAACCAGCCTGTGCCATGGAAGGTGTTACCATGGCAACCGTTGGGTCGGCACGGCTGCCTCTGCTCGTGTTCGTGCTGCTGTTACAGGACGTTGGTGACATACGACCTAGGGCACCGTCCTGGATGAGCTTTGTCTGGAGGAGGGCGAGGGACCAGAGACCACTGTGGAGTGCTGAGCAGTGGGGGACTTTGGGGACACACTGAGGGGCTCAGCCCGGCCCTGGAGGAGTGACGGAGGGTTCCCGGGTGCAGACGGTGACTGCCTTGGAGAGAATCTGGGAGAAAGGAGCGAGTCATCTGGGCGCGGGAGGGCGAAGGGGGAGTTCTAGCAGAGACAGCGGCACGGGGCAAGGGCTGAGCGTGGAGGTGGTGTCCTGAAGGTCTGGGATGGGGCGGGGCCTCAGGTGCACCTGAAGACACCCCAGGGGCTGTCCGTAAAACTTCGGGGCTCGCCCACGTACGTTCTAGAAGCAATGGTCCACCTTACCTTAGTGCTCAGGTGGTTTGTACCATGTCCCTCCGATTCGTCGGCCTTTGTGATTGTCATGGCTCTGGCTCTCGTGTGGCCAAGTTGTCTGGCTCACCCTGAATGTGTCACACCGTCATCACCGTGCTGCTGACAGAGCCCCTTCCGGGCTGAGTTGGCCGGTGGTGTAATTATCTGCCTCTGTGTGACGGATTCCTCCAGAATCCAGTGCCGACTCAGGGCAGGAGCATCTCCTCTCTCCCCACGTCTGTGGGACAGGGGTTTGGGAGTCCTGTGGCTCTAACTGGGGCCCTTCCTGGCTGTCTCCCTCACGTGGCTGCTGAGGTGGTGCTGGCTGTGGGCGCCAGGCCTCGGTTCCCCAACCTGAGCCTCTCTGCAGGTGCCCACGGAGCCCTCGGGCCATCTTGGAAGTTTGAGACTCATGTCCCAGTCCCAGGCTGCGGGCCACCTGCCCGGCTCCGTGCGTGTGGGGCCGGGGCCTCTGCCTCGCCTCCCCTCCCCTGCCCTCCTGGCCCTGGCTGTGTTTCTGTCTGCCTTCCTCATCTGGCGTGGAGGCCCCGTTGCTTCGAGAGGCACATCCGTTCCGATCAGGAAACCCCCAGTGCCCGTGCACACCCGTTAGGACGCAGAGAGTAAATATTTGTCTTTGCGGATGATCTCAGGAACCTCAGAGGCAGAGAAAGACCATTCAGAAGAGAGATCTCCTGAAGATAACGGCCCCGGCTGTTCTGTTCAGTCCTGGCGGGGCTGGCCTCCAAGTTACTTTGTCTTGTTACTTTGCACTTGGGGTGACCTGCGTGGAGCTGAGGCTGAGAGGGACGACGGTGTGTGTGTGTGTGTGTCTGTGTGTGTGTTGGAGGATGGTCTGGGCTTCCACACACTGAGCTGAATTTGGGGCCCGCCTCCTGACCCGAGGCCTTATTCTCTCAGGACCCCTGCACACTTGTATACATTGACATTGTGTTTGTCGTCTCAAAGCTGTCTTTTGAATGGGTCCCCTGGGAGACCCCAGGAGAGGGAACGGAGGCCCAGAGAGGTCACCGGCCCTGGCCGTCGATTAGGTCCCTCCCTCCATCCCACAGCTGCCCCCCAGAACCCGCGACGGGGTTCCCTGTCCCGCAGTTTCTGCCCAGCATGTGGCGCTGGCCGGGCCCGCGTGCCCGAGGCTCCTGGGGGCCGCTGGCACTCCCCTGCCCTCAGCCCGGTGGCCTCCGGAGGGCGGGCCCGTGACATCCGCATTGGTTCCGGCTCTCCGTCTGCGCCGTCGGGAGAGCCCCCAGACTGACACAGGTCTCTCCGCTCATCAATGGCCCTGGCCGAAGGGTTCCCCGCAGGAATTCAGACGTGCATTTATTCTGAGGGCACATTCCCAGGCCGTCCGGAAGCTCGGGGAGTGCTGCGCTCGGCTGGCGGCTTTCTCACTAAGTGAAAGGCGCCAGCTCTGGCTCCGGATGGGGGAAGGTTCTAGTTTCTCATCCCTCCCTCTGCCGGGAGAAGCTGGCATCCGCCTGCGCGCACCCGGGAGGCCTCGTGCGGCTCAGATTCAGGGCGGGTGTCCTCCTGGTCTGGAAGTGCTGCCCACGGCAGGGCGCCAGCTGGGTGCTTGGACACCATGTGCGCCGAGCTGTGGGCCGAATCTTGGGGCCGCGGGGCGGGGGCGGACCCTCCTCGGCCCCGATCCCCGAGGGTCCAGAGGGTTTGCTGGTGCGAGACCTATTGCTGCAGAACCCGCTCCACCCACACGCCTTCTTTCTCTTTTTCTTGCAGCCTGCAAGTACCCGTGCCACAAGAAATGTGAAGCAAAGGTAAGCGCCGGCCGTGTTCCTCCCCTGGGGGGGCCGTGACCCCGCTGTGGCCTTGGCCCGACGGCGGGCAGGCGCAGAAGGCGTACGCCTTGGCCTGCGGCCACAGGCGTGAAACCCTTGGGAAAGGGCTGCTAGATGCTTCGATAGCGCGTATACTTTTCGTCTCCAGAGGAAGCCTTGGAGCCATGGGTTCTGTGTTCCTAATTATAGAAAGTAAAGCTCAAGAATTCGGTTTCAGACGAGAATGGAGTAACTGGCCCTGAACACGGCTCAGCCCTCCCGCCCAGCGGGCCACCCCTTCTTTCTCAGGATTACATCACACCGCTTTTCAGGGCTCAAGGGCGGGTAGGGAAAGGGTTTAGGGCACAGGCTCTGGCTGGCCCGCCCTGTGTTGTGGGAGCCCCTCTCAGGCCCCACAGACCCCTGGGCTGGAGGCCCCGGGAGATGGGGGTTTAAAGAGCCTTGGGGTTCTGTGGCTGCCGTGTCCCTCCTGGGTTGGCTGTTGCTGAGAAGTTCCAACTGGTGCAGCTCCGGGCAGGATTGGGTGCTGGGGGCGAGCTTCTCGGGCCCCGTTCTACGCATGGAGGCCAGGGATGCCAGGCTCTCCACCCGGCCCACCACATGCATACATGCGCACATGCACACTTCACACCCATGCGGGAACACACACACACACGGACGGGCCACACACAATTCACACAGGTCACAGTCACACTCTTCACACACAGACACATGCCCTCATATGCACACACACACATGTATGTACAGGTAGGAGAAGTACAGGCTAGTCTGGCCCTGTGTTTTTTTCCCCAAGGAAGAGAGACTAAATGACTTCTTTTTAAACTTTTCGGATTGGGGGATTTGGAGCACACGAGAAGTGGAGAGGGCTGCTCAGCCCCCGGGCTGGCAACCCTGTCCTCTCTGAACCCATTTCCCCCCACTGCTCAGAGCTGTCACGTGATGTGCATTTAAACAGCCGTGCTGGCTGTCCTGAGTCCTCCTGCGTGTGTGTGCATGTGTGCGCACGCATGTTTATGTACCTGGATGTATGTGCATGTGTGTGCATGTCTTTGCACCTGCATGTGTGTGCCTAGATGTGCTTGCGTGTGTCTGTGTATATGTGCAGGTGTGCCTGGATGTGTATGGATGTGCATGTATGTGTACAGGCGCATGCGTGCGGGTGTGTGCTGTGTGTGTGCCTGTGTGTGCCCCCGTCTGTGACGGTTTCGTGGGCCCAGCCACACTTGCCTGGCAGCGAAGAATTGAGCCCCGCTCCTGTTGGCACCGTTTCTTGAAGGGGCCCAGAGCCGGCTACTAATGAGATTGAATTCTTCAGCTCAAAGACTATTTCAGAAGTCTTAGCTCTCACCGATTATGGCATTTCTAGCCGCAGTAATTGGCAGTATGCTCAGAGGTAGATAAGTGTTCTCTGTCTGTAGATCAGGGCAGGGGGAAATGTATCCGAATTTGTTTTTTTCCGATAACTCCGCTTTGAAAGGCAGGGGAGAATGCCACCGGGAATAACAGCGCCCCTTCTTATCCCGAATCCATAACGCCGTGGCCGCCGGGCGGGAAGAGGCCATACATTCCCAGCCACCGCTGGGGATACGCGGGGTGGAGAGGGTGCAGTTCTGTCTCCCAGGAGCCAAGCTGTGGCTCTCCCACACAGTGTGGGCCCCTGCTTACCGCATGTGAGCATGTAATGTGCCCAGGGCTTGCTCGATTTCCTGACCGACGACAGGGTTGTTGTGGTTTAGGATAAGGTCCAACTGCTCGCTGACCTGGGGAAGGCAGGCACTGTGGGTTCCTTCGTGACCCCCTCGGTAAACCCCGCTGTGCTGTGTCACCAAGGAGAGAACCATCTTCTAGAAACCGGGCTGAGCCACGGCAGAGAAGCCGAGTCTTGCGTTGGGATCAAGAAGGCCGGATGGACTTGGGTCACTGGCTTCCTGGCAGTCAGGCAGTGTGGTCCCTTAGGGGAGGCCTTGAGCTCAGAGGGCACACGGGGGCAGTGACCCAGGCTGGGATCCCTGTGGGGGCTTCTCGTCCGCTGGAGCAAGTCCCTGGGGCTACAGTTTGTTCATGCGTAAAACAGGTGACCGATATGTCCCGCAATCCGGGTGGAGACCGGACAGCTCTTAGCTGTTGATTATTTGATGATTTTGGTTTTAGGGAAGTCCCATAATCTATGTATAATGGAAAGTTTGGGATTGCAAACACTTTGCGCCCTGGGAGACTGTGCATATTCACTGGGGCCCCGTGCTTTGCTGTGTCGGCATGAGTGGTTTCCCCTTGACCGCTGGTTGGCTTCCTGGCAGAAGCATAAGGAAGTAGGAGAAAGAGCTATATTAGAAAGGCCGGGGATGGGGTCCCCCCATGTCCCCCAAGTGTCGCGAAGGCGGGGTTCCCCTGGGCCTTGGCGAGTGGCCAGGTGCACTGTGGTGGTACAAATCGCGTCCCTCCCACTTGAGGGACTTCCACGTCCTTTCCACGTTGGCCCGGACCAGATGCAGCTGCTCCTAGAGGTGCCCTCAGTTCACAGAGCATTACGTATGGAATCTGTACTCTTTCTGAGGCCCCAGGTAGGGATGACCCGTGAGATGGCAGAGCTGAACATTTCCAAGGGGCTAGGTACGGAGCAGTCACCTTGTACAGGGTCCCCCCTGCTGTGTGTCTCAGGAGCTAGGGCTCTGTCCTCAGACCCCTTTGTCCCTTCCAGAGCGTGCTCCCCACAGGGCCAGCTCACCTCTCCTCTTTCTGGATGTTCCTTACTGGAGGTAAAGTACGGGACTGCACCTGGGTGAGTGGAAGCCCCCTGCAGGAGGGGTGAGGGGCTGCGGGCCGCCACAGGGCCCACCTTGTGTGGCTGTCAGGTGCCTGCTAAGCTGGGTGCCTCCCCCCACCCCCGCCAGATGCTGAGCTTGGTAATGGGCATGTGGCTGCGCTCTCTGAAGGGTCAGATGGGCCTCCCCCTCCCTGAACCACGTCTGGGCCCCGGGCAGCAGGGCCCTCAGCCTCCTGCCTCTGCTGGCCTCACGTGTGGGTGATGCCCGCGTTCCAGCTGTGGTCTGTGCAGGAGCCACCACGAGGCCCAGAACCCACGATGTCCTCAGAAACCACTGTCCTGTCTGTCCCTGGGGTCACCAGGTGTCCACTGCTGTGAGTGAGGCGTCGTGACCATGAACTTATGCCTGCCGCGTCCCCTTTGTCTGCAAGCAGTCCCGATCTCCGCTGCGTCCCTGGTGTGTGCTCCCTGCATCGGACCAGCAAACTTGTCACCGGCTGCCGCGTCCCAGCAGTCAGGGGTGTCAGGTTTCAGGGTTCAGGTTTTTGCCGTCCATGTATTCTTCCCGGGTCGGCCGTGCATCTGGGGCCTTACCCCCTCCCCCTGCCAGCCTGCGCTCTTCTGCTTCCAGCGCAAGGCTCCAGGCCTGACCCTGTGGTGCCTGCTTCTGTCCCAGGAGGATGCCTGTGGGCTCTTGACCCACCAGTCTCCCCCTCCCCCCCCCACCCCCTACCGCCTCTCCCCAAGGGCTTTGCTTGGGTCTGTCCTCCCCGTGTGAGCCCAGGGTTCTGGTTGTTGCTCAGTTTCTCTGACTTCCTTTGGAAGTGCCAGCGGGGCTGGGGACATGTCTCCGGGACTCTGCTGGTGGCGGGGCTCCAGGCCTAACGGGGACGACTGGATTTTTGATGAATCCCAGGAGCGCTGGCACTAACGTGTCATGAGGTGCCTGCTTCTGCCATGGTCACTGGTTTTCCTTGCAGGGCTTGGCTCAGGCTCTGAGGTCCGCTCCACGAGAGGCTGTTTCTTTAGCTTCCATTAATCACAAAAGCATGGGTGTGTGCGCGTGGTGTGGCCAGGCGCAGAGCTGCAGCTGTTTAAATGTGGACATTCTGGAAGGTTCCTCGGAGCACAGCCCTTCCTGCCCTGTCACATTTGGCCTGAGCGTCTTAGAGACCCCTTGAGCAGAGGCCCGCATGACAGAGTAGCCAGTGTCCTGTGTCCCCTGCATCAGTGGGACGTCGGGGGAACGGAAGGAATGGCACGGTAATGGTGTGACATCACCGTTTGACAGGCTGCGGGGGGCACGTGGCCCTCAAGTGTGGACAAAACCTAGAAGGAGCGCTTGGTGAAGACTTTCCTTCTCTTTAAATGTCAGTGACCGGATTCACTGGTTCATGCAACTGTCCTCACGCCTGCCCTCCGTCTGGGAGAACAGAAGTGGAAAATAGGGTTTTCCATGTGTAGCTGACAGAAGCAGCCAGTGAAACCGTGGGGCCCACAGAGAGAGGACCAAGGACACCTGGGTCTGAGCTTGACAACGCCCCGTGGAAGCTGTAGCTCCAGCCGTGGGCTCTTTCATCATGAAATCAGAACATAGGCACCTTCTGTGAGCGGTTCCCAGAACCGGGTTCAGCGGCTAGAGTGAGTGCCACCCCACGGGCCTTCTGGAGGGAGGGTCTCCACCTTGAACTTGCATACCGGGGTCATCTGCGTCCCGCGTCCCAGAAGCAGGTGTATTTCCCTGTAGCTGCAGTTACTGGAGATCATACTCTCTGCAGTCACGGTCATTATTGTCCTAGGTCAGCCGTCTCCCGGCATGTCGACTGCTGTGTGAACAGCACAGATCATATGCATTTTGTTCCTTAACTGTTGACCCGAGGCTAAAGTATGGTGTTTTCTGAGGTCTCTTCCCGAGAATGAGATCTTCTCCTTCAAGCAGACCAATCCCGTTTTCTTGGCTCACCGTGTGCCTCTCACGCAGCATGGGCCCAATCTGAACGCGGTTCCATCCGGCCAGCAGCATTGGAGCAGAGTGTTCATCCCTGTGGGGTTGCCTTGGTGCTGGCCGGCTCTGTGACATTTCCCTGCCCCCTCCCCAGCCCCCCACTTGGCTGGCCCCCCTCTCCCTGCTTCTCCCAGCATCCTGGGTTAGTACCCGAGGGCCACAGCCATGGCTCCTCCCCAGGGAGGACTTATGCGTCCCCTGCCCATGGAG